TCGACGAATTGTCGAAACGGGTCACGGCACCAATGTTAGTCTATCTAGACAAGACGTGGAAAAAAACGTAAACTGTTTATTTCAAACATAAACAGAGGAATATATAGAAATGTACGCGTGAGGAAAAGAAGAAACCAAGAAATGAAAGATAAAAAAACGAAAGAAAGAAAAAGAAAAAGAAAGGTAGTGAACCAAGTACAGCTCCATTACGTAATAATGCTGGTGCAACATTTATAAATAGACAATGGCTTGCTGACAAAATTCATCGCACAACTCTATTTGTCACCGATTGGTCGCAGAAGTCATATGATCAATACTTTGCTGATTATTCAAATGTTGGTAGCTAAACTTAAACTATCAGAAGCTAGTCAAGATATCATTCGTAAAGCAAGTGGCCAACAAAGAAAAAGCTGTTCTGTTGTGACGAAGAAGATTGCAGAAAAGCAAAAGGAATATGTCACTCGAAGAAGGATTAAAACCATTTCATGTTATTCCAAAACCGTTAAAATCTGAAGCTCATATATCAGATCGCTTGTGGTTGTGCGACTGGCTAAAATATTGGACTGTAGAAGATTTTCTTCATCTGGCACTATCTGATGAATTTTATGTATGAACTGTCCGTAGACCAAATTATCACAATGATCGAATTTGGGCGAAAAGTATTGAAGACATTGAATAAGACCAAAGGTATCGCGAAATGGTAAAAAATCAATCATGTATCGGAATTTCTATAATGTTTATTTGCAAATGATTACTTTGGATTATCAAAGAAAAAGGTGAATCTTGAACTGGTGAATACTTTCGTGATATTATTTTAACTCAAAATGTATTTCTCTTCTTAAAAAATGAAGATAATGTTATTGATCCTAATGAAATTATATTTGTTCACGATAAAGCATCATGTATGCGAGCAAATAAAGTTCAACATTTGCTTCAAGACAATGATGTTAAATTTTGGGGTAATGATATCTGGCCAGGAAATTCACCTGATCTTAATGTGGCAGAATGTATCGGATCAATAATCAAAGATGAAGTCGAAACGAAAATGCTATCAGAAACTGAATATAATCGATATCATGAAGACACACTTAAAATGTATATTGAAAATGTCCTAACTAGCATGGAAGAAGATACTGAATTATTTGAAACTCTTCTATGTTCGTATCCATCTCGACTTCGTGCAGTAAAAAATGCGAACGGTCGTCGCACAGATTATTGATTGTATTCATTAAGGAATGAAAAATAAACTATTTTGTGACACCTTTAGTTCGAGCATTACCTGATAAACTAGTTTTCTCGTGTCTTATATAGGTGAAAAGTTGTAACTTTCGAGAGTCTGATATATGAAAGTTCTTCAAAGTCATATTATTTAGCATCGCTAAATCACATTTTTTACGGGCTTTCATTTGGTATAAAATTCATCATATCTCCTACTTCGAATCATACAGTTACTCCCCTGGAAAAATATTGTTTCTAACCGTGTACAGTAAAACGTTTTGCATTTGTTGAAAAAGGATCCCATTCAATTGACCAATTATTAATTATACGTGAAGTTAGTACTAAAAATCTTGATAGAACATGGCGTTCTCTAAATGTAACATTTAATTGTTCAGTATACACAGTTAGCTTTAGCGTAGTAAATACTTTGAAAAGCGCAGTAATTTAACTTTGCTAGTCACATCATTTTTTATTACTTCATCAAATTTAAAATATTCATAGATACAGAAAGAGAAATGAAATATGTGAATGGTGTCTTACTAGGCGATAAAAAGTTGTTGAACGAAAGGAGCCCACCTTTTGAATTAAATAGATTCTGAAAGTCTTCTTTGCTCATTCCCTGACCACGATAAACGGTCAAAGCTGTTTGGAAATTTGCCGACTGTTGTTGGTGCAATTGTTCCAGTTGACGATGCAGACTTCGAATAAAAAAACCTAATTTTGTCATCCCCTCCATGTCAAGAGTTCGCAAGGCACGATTAAGCATACCATACAGAAACATTGGTTTCGTATACCACCAGACTGCTGATCTATCGCGGTACTTATGCTTAAATTCTTTTAATTCTGTTTCAGAAACTTTTTGTTGTTGGCAAAAT